ATTTAAACGAGAATACATATCACGAACAAGCTCATCATCATTCATTTTAAAGAAATCATAATTTTGTTTAGCTAGACAATTTTTTGCTCACGGACATTAGTTGTGCCATCATGGAGCTCTTGGAGTTTTAACCAAATTTCATGTACCATATTTAAAGTGAACACTTGGTTAAACACATTCATGCTAAAAGATTCAAAGAAGTAATTTTTAGCTCTAGCATTAAAATGAATTTCTTTTTCTTCACTCTTTGTGGGTTTATCGGGATTCTTAATGGGTTTCATCCCATCACGAGTGACTCTCCAAACACCCAAATCTACCGCCTCAAGGTGACACGCCATTCTAGCTTTATAGTAAGGGAAGTTAGTGCCGTCAAAGTGTGGAGGCCTAGAGGTATCCATCCCAACCACTCTAAATAGTGTCGGCTCAACGGCGGTTAAGCCAAATGTCCAAATTGAGCCAACCGGCTCCGATACCACTTGTAGAGGACCGTGCCGCCTAAGAGGGGGTGAAATTAGGCAACTTAAAATTCTGATTCTAAACTATGGCCTTTTTTTCTAACCTTAGCAAAACCTATGCAAAAGATAAACTATCTAAGTGTGCAACTATGGTTTTGCTAGTGTGTTGCTATCTCTACCGCAAAAGGAGTTATATAAACAATGTAAATGCGGAAGCTAAAGAGTAAGGTAGAGATATGCAAACTCCCATCGATGACTTCAGTATTTTTATCGAGGTATCGAGAAGCGCGTAAGCTTCTCCCTAGTCCTCATTGGAGCCCCTCGCAAGGAATCCCTCACAAGGGCCAAGCTCCTGGTCGAGTAACTCTGTGGATAGCTCCGGGCCTTCCCCATGTGTAAGTGGGTCTTCGGTGTGCCTTCGGCAAGCCTCTCTGGACCGCTCCCCGCCGTCTTCACTATCAAGCTTCTGGCCGAACCACCGTGGGCCTTGTTCCCTTCGGTACACGGTGGCAGTCACACCACAAACGCAGTTGGTGTGATCTCGCAAGTCTACAAGCCCCTCTGATGTATAAAAATGGTGCGTGCAAGCACCGAGTGATAAGAGGTACGTAAACCTCACTAAACACTAGGCCTAAAACTAGACCAAGCGCATAAGCGGTGGTCTAATCAACCAAAGCACTTCACAAAATAGCTACGCTAATCACCTAATGAATCACTAAGCACTATGCAAGTGGAGATCACTAAAATGGTGTATCAACACCCTTGATATGTTTCCTCAGCTCCACTCTACTCAAATAGCGGTTGGGGGGGTCTATTTATAAGCCCCACTAAGAAAGTAGACGTTGGAGATGAAATCCTGCTTTTCTGCTATTGACGAGACGCTGCTGTCGTCCTAACCGGACGCGACCGGTCGTCCCAACTATTAGAGTGCACGATCAATTCATCGGACTCTGATGGCGTCCGGTCACATGCCACCGGACGCGTCCGATCTCAACTTCGCCGCTCTGGAACCTCTCTATACTCGATCGGACGCTGCAGTTCCTGCGTCGGTCGATTAGCCGCCAACGTCCGGTCAGTGCTGAGTGTGTTGCCTGATGATGAACAGTGTCATCGATGTGTCCGGTTACTTTTGGTCCTCAGCGTTCGGTCGCTGCTGCTGACGTCTCTGTTTGTTGCCGAGCCTCTTGATCGGAGCATCCGGTCGCTATTAGGGCTACGTCCGATGCTACGTCCGGTCACCTCTGTGAAGCTCGTTTCTTCACGATCTTGCGTCCGGCTTGGTTTCTATCTTCGTGCTTGGACTTTGCTTGATATCTTGGGTCTCCTCTTGTGCTTCTAGGGTCTTGCTTAAGGTTTTGATCGTGGGATCATCACATCGCCTTCGTTTAAGTCACGTCTTGCATCCTATTGAACTACAAAACAATCACTTGCAAATTCATTAGTCCAATTTGGTTGTGTTGGTCATCAAACACCAAAATCCAAAGTAAATGGGCCTAGGGTCCATTTTCCTTACACTCATGACTTGTGTACCCTCTTCTTGTGTTGGATTTGCGACACCCGGTGGGGTTAGGCGTGTGATGCCTATTTGCTCATGATCCTCCAAGAAAGTGTGTCATCACAACGGGGACTAGCTTGCCGGCAAGCACGTGAACCTCGGGATAAATCTCTATGTGAACTTGTGATTGATCAATTGGATTTCATCCCGTGATTGTCTTGGTGATTAGATTGACTACTCACTCCTTCGCATTTACTTTCATCTAGCTTAGTACAAGCTCTTTAGTGTAGCTAGCTTTGAGAGCTTGTTGTTTGGTTAGTGAGGCTCTTTAGTTAGTCTCTGAGAGCTTACTAGCTTAGCTAGTTGTTGTGTGCCATTGAACTATTAGGGCTAGAATTGTTGGCTAGGTGGCTTCTTTTGCAACCCCTCTTAGAGCTAGCGCAACATTCGCTTCGTTGTCTTTTAGTCTAAATAGATTGTCTAGTGTTGTTGTTAGGGAAAAAATTTATCGGCTATTCACCCCCCTCTAGCCATTAAGACCTTTCGGGGGGGTCCCTTCCTCTCCTTATAAAGCCTGGGGGTAGGGTTACAGTAGATCTGATCGGATAGTAGATGAGTTTTCTAGTTTGTTACATGGAAAGTACAAAAGATCATTCGATCATATCCCGGAGTACTGAAATATCAGCTATCTATGCTTGATAACTTGATGATCACATCTGCTGCTTCACCTAATGTATGTGGGCCTCATTCCTCATCGTCTTTGGCCTTGCTCATAGGCTTAGGCCGGATATACGGGTGGTGAGGTACCCTAGGCCCACATATCTGATAGTAGCCCCCGTAGGACTAGGTGATGAGTCGGTTGATTGACTCCCATCCTCCGGGTAATAGGATTTCCTATGATCCTTGGGTGCCTGGGGCTCCTGATTAGCATTCCTCGGGTGCCAAGGTCTCGAGTCACTCGTCCGAAAGCATTCGAGTACCCTATTCTTCACGTGTCATCTACTCCTTGGGTACCAAGGTCCTGTAGGCGGTCAACTGTTTCACGTAATAGATTCCTCTTGGGTAGCGAGATTATTCAAGAGGTGGAATCTCCCATGCAGGAATTTTGGCTCCCTGAGCACCTGAGCGTGTGCGTAGCCCTTGGTCCGCTAGTTATTGTGCGTCACCAAGTCATGTCAAAGATAAGGATGGATGCGCCAGGGAATCTAAACCGCCTCGTATTCCCTGCTCCTTCTATTGCTCCTGTGACTCATGTGGACGACCACGTGGTTCATGGATCTTGATTGTTAGCTTCCCTACCAATGTCTTCAGGCGAGGCTATTTAAAGCAGGTAGGGGGAGCCCTTCGAGCTCACTCCCGCCTCCTCCCTCCCTTAGCATTAGACATAGCAGAAAGTGAGCTTTAGTTGTCCGAAGCTACTTCATAACCATGGCGCTTGCTGTTCTCCGACGCTACTGGGAGAAGTCCTTCGATTAACTTCTACCCATGCCTAGTCATAGCCAAAGCCGCTGTCCCTAGGTGTCAATCGAAGTTTCACGAAGATAGGGCACGATGCCACCGCGGGGGCTGGGCCGTGTATATATTTGTCTACTTGGTCGGCAGCCAGCACTGGGTGATCCTCTCTCAGCCAGGGGGAGTTGAAACCATCATGAAGGCAGACGGTAAAATAACCATTATCGTCGGCCTTGCTGAGGAGGATGGTGCCCGCTCGTGGCTACAGTATCTCCCCCGATCTGTAGGAGGTGTTAGTGATAGCCTCGCGAGGATCCCTCCCGTCCTAGATCTCCTGGTCCACGTCTTGTGTCTTAACGAGAGCCAGGAGATGGTCCTCGCGTTCTTGAAAGGTCTTTGTTATTGTACACCTGTCGATATGTAATAGAGCTCATCAATAAAGAGTTTCTTGTGTGACTTTATTACCTTACATTCGCCTCGGCCGTTCAGGCCCTCCTTATCAAATCGAGTGCTTTTCGCGTTTTTTAGGGTACCCAATCCGGCAGACTTTGAACATACTGGTTGCTTATCTGAGCTTTGGGAGGTATCCCTAACGTGGTTGCTTCGACTATAGGATGTGGACCAGGTTGTTCTTTGGGCTTCGTTGCTCGTTTTGTCGAGTGACCCTAGTTTAGGTATCACCAAGGCGAATGACGAACGCTTTAGCAGCGGAGGCAGTAGCGCATGTCACTGAGTTATAATCGGGTAGAACGAGTGAATTAACCCAGACAATCACCACGAGAAACCTAACCAGTTGAGCTGCGCTCACTTTTTATAGTTGGCTCTTTTCGGCCGGCCCTATTATGTATAATTCATGCTCTGCCCATGCAGATGATGATCGTTGAATAAATCTCAGAGCTGCACATCGTCTTGGTGACCATACATCAAGTTGTATATCCTGTTGCAACACATAAATATGTTCCATAGTGTATAATAATGTCTATAAGTAGTAATGTTTTAAAAGTTTATTAAGTGGGTTTTAGTAAAAAAATCGTAAAAAGAATGTAATTCTAGTTTTGAATTTGAACAAACGCTTATTCATATTCAAAGCTAGATTTTTTTAGACGGAAGGAGTAATATATTTGTTTTTTTAGAAAAGGGAGTAATATATTTGTGACAAAGGAAGTACATGCTTTGGATCATTTCGTGACTTTGGATCCTATTACTGGGCTGAGACTGCCGATCTCTTGGTAATTTAGCTCAATCCGGCCGATGATGTGTTCTTTGAGTCCTTTCTTTCAAAAGGCCTTTCGGACCATATATTCTCAAAAGAAAAAAAGGCCTTTCGGACCATATTTTGTGCAGACTCCAAAGATGCTCCAAGGCCGCACTCCGCACCAATGGCCCAATGCCCTCGCGCCAAGCAAGAGAAGCCACTCCGACGTGGACAAACCCCAGACGTGGAGGGCATCGATTGGTCCGCACACGCGTCCGTCTCTTCGCGAGGATGCAGGCTTAAATCGCATCACCACGGCGAAAAACCCGATCAGCGATCCCTAGTCGTCACTGCCGTTTGATTCCTCCCCCTCCCCCGCTTCCAGAAGCTTCGCGGCTCCGCCATGCTTCCCGCCGTCGTCGCGGCGCTCCTCCTAGTGGCAGCGGCCGCCTCCCCGGCCGCCGCACTCTACTCCGCCGGCTCCCCCGTCCTCCAGCTCAACCCCAACAACTTCAAATCGAAGGTCTCACCTGACTCCCACTGCCCCTGAGCCAACAGATCGGCGCCTCCATTTTAGGTTCTCTCTGAGCAGTGTGCCGCCTTTCTCCTTTGGTGCAGGTGCTGAACTCGAACGGCGTGGTGCTGGTTGAGTTCTTCGCGCCGTGGTGCGGGCACTGCAAGCAGCTGGCGCCCGCCTGGGAAAAGGCTGCCGGCGTGCTCAAGGGCGTCGCCACGGTCGCAGCGCTCGATGCCGATGCGCACCAGGCGCTCGCGCAGGTGAGTGTGCCTCCTCTTTCACCATCTTGTTTCCCTGTAATTCGTCCACGGGCGTCCGAGTTGACCTGAATGTTCAATGGAGTGATCTCGGCATCACTTGCTGCGATTGTACGGTAGTTTGGTCGCATTAGGTGATAATTCCCTAGACTAATGTGCAGTGTCATACCAATACTTGGATTCCATATACAGATGCTAAACCGGGATGGGGACAGGTTTTATCAATTTGTTCTGATCTTCAGCAGTGCAGTGCCACACTTATTTGGTGGTTTAGGTCTAGGAATGGTAAATTTATTGGTATTTAGTGCATCTAAATTATTGATTTTTAGTATTTGGTTAAAGTTTAGCACCGTGCATTAAGTTAGAACACATGCCATATTTGTTGTGCATACGGAACTGTTGTATGACAAGTAAGAGAATGAAATATGGCGATTCTGCACAGAAAGTTATTTTAAGGGGAGGGAGGGGTAAAATCCTTGTTCCATCACTATTAATGAAACCACCTTCTGTATAGCAAACTTTATGTATAGGTTCCTTTAGTTAAGCTATTATAAATTAGCAGTTTGTGAGTGGTTTTGACTTTTGAGTTACTGTTATGACTTTGCATGTTGAATTAACAATTTGTTGATAAATCTGATGAAAATTTTGCATTGGCTAGAATCTTATATTCTTTGGTGCATATGTTTAAGACTTTTGTTAATGTTTGACGATAAATTATTGTTAATGTGACTCTAAAACACACATAAAATGAAATAGCCATATCAAACTGATGTCGGCTTCAATAAGTTATCCTGACAAACTCAGGGTGAACAATATGATTGAAACTAATTCTGGTAAAATGACCCCAGATTAGGATACCTTCTTTTCATACTATGGGTCTGATAAGTTTTCTGTTTCACTTCCCCAAATAGTCTTCTGGACTCATGTAATGCGAAACTGACAACCACAAATTTGATCTGACTTGCATAATTTTCATAGATCTGTGCTTGCAATGCTATCAGTTTAGTTGATTCTGAATGCATGATTTTTTATTTTTTTTATTTTTTTATTTTATTTTTTTGCAGGAATATGGAATCAAGGGATTTCCCACTATTAAGGTGTTTTCCCCTGGTAAACCTCCAGTCGATTATCAAGGAGCAAGAGATGTAAAGCCAATCGTAGAGTTTGCTCTGTCACAGGTTTGTTGCATCAAATGCTACTTAGATGGCCTTTATTTTTCTTCTATTTGTTCATTGGATGCATTTCAGTCACTTTTAGTATATACTAGGTCGTAGGTATGACTTATGCAGTTATGCTTTTGCTGTCCCTTTTTACTGAACACATTTCATGCTTTGTCAGTATGCTTTTCAGAAACCATTTAGCTTCAGTGGCTTATAAGAATTACTTTGGATCTTGGTGTACTATGAAAACAACTGCTATATTTATAGGCTGAAAGTAGTTTTGTGGTTGAGTTCTTGATTGCGCTGTTTACGTCTTTTAAACAAATGGCTGACCTAATGAATGCCTTGAACATTCAAAGTTCTTGTCTAGTAGCAGTAGGTGTTGAGGCAGTCAATGCATTCCTCTAGTTCTCTGTGTGTGCTGCTGTTCGCAGGTCAAGGCCCTTCTTAAGGCAGTCTACACTTTTCGCAAACCATTTAGTTTCAGTAACTCATAAGAATGACTTTGTATCTTAGCGTGCTATGAAAACAACTGATATCTTTCTATTGGATGAAAATAGTTTTGTGGGTAAATTCTTGATTGTGCTCTTTATGTCATTTTAAACAAATGGCTGTCCTAACCAATGCCTCAAACATATGAAGTTCTTCTCTAGTAGGCATTGAGGCAGTCAATGCATTGCTCTAATTATGTGTGTGTTCTGCTATATGCAGGTCAAGTCCCTTCTTAGAGAAAGGTTGAGTGGTAAGGCATCAGCAGGGTCAAATGGCAAGACATCTGGAGGTTCAAGTGAGAAAAGTGAACCAAGTGCATCAGTAGAATTAAATTCACATAACTTCGATGAACTCGTTGTCAAAAGCAAGGACCTTTGGATTGTGGAATTCTTTGCGCCATGGTATGAAGCTTGCTGTACACGTACTGTTTATCATATAACTTGGGTTATTGTACATTCTTTGCTATCAGTTTCTCAAATAGAGAAGAAAAAAAAAAGGTTGCAGTAAGTTGTGTAAAATTAAGTAATCTCTTACTAAGAGTATTCTAGGGCATTCTCCTTAATTTTATGTTTATTTATCCTACCATTTTTCCATTGCCATTGTATGTTCTACAATACTCTTCATTTATTGTGGGGGCTTCAGAAGTTTGACATATACTTCTGTTCAGGTGTGGGCACTGCAAGAAATTGGCACCTGAATGGAAAAAGGCTGCAAAGAACTTGAAGGGCCAAGTGAAGCTAGGCCATGTTGATTGTGATGCTGAAAAGGTGTGTGTTTATTTGTTCTTTGAGCTTATCTCTTCTTTTGGTAATGACCTTTCCCTAACCCTACATTTTAGTGTTTTGTGGGAATAATCACTGCCAATAGTCTAGGTTGCATCTTTCAATGTATTGCCCATATTTATTAATCTCTTATCGAAACTTCCAATTTATTCTCAAGCTGCTTGCTAGTGAACAATGGCTATAAAGCTATAAATTCTTAGTTTTAAATTCCTGCTGAGTTCTTGCCATTTTAGTGATCACCAGGACTCCAATGAAGGATTTGAAAATTTTGAAGGCATTCACATTTTTTATTTTTGTAGCAATAGCAATATAACCTGTGTTTTAGAGCCTTAGGGCCACAATTGCAACTTCGACAAATATTGTAGTCTGCTAGCACATCGGGCAAGCTTCTATTCAAAAGTTATACGCCATTTGATTGGGATCTCACTTAATCCATAAGCCATTTGAGTGGGATCATCACATCCCATCCACTTGTTTGGAATGCCATTTTCTCAAGATGTATGTCGAGAGACATGATTTTTAGCATATAAATTTATGTTGGCATAATTTCAGGCAGTATATGAGTACAGTTTAGAAGGTTGAATCTTCACCTTTTAGAAGCATGGATGCTTTCCTGGCAGGCTGACCTCTTTTCACTTCTTCCCAATTGCCACAGTGCAGATTATTATTAATAATTAACGATTACTCTTCTATTTTGCAGTCCTTGATGAGCAAGTACAAGGTGGAAGGTTTTCCAACTATTTTGGTATTTGGTGCTGATAAGGAGAGCCCATTCCCCTACCAGGGGGCTAGAGTTGCATCTGCCATTGAGTCCTTTGCATTGGAGCAGTTGGAAGCCAACTCTGGCCCAGCTGAAGTTTCTGAGTTGACTGGCCCGGTAAGGCTAAACCTTCATGGTACCTACAAAAATCTGACGATCGTTTAGTCCACCATTGATATTTGAGGTGACGATTTGGCTTCTGCAGGATGTCATGGAAGAGAAGTGCGCTTCTGCTGCCATTTGTTTTGTATCATTCCTTCCAGACATTCTTGATTCAAAGGCAGAAGGAAGAAACAAGTACCTTGAGCTTCTGCTCTCTGTTGCTGAGAAGTTTAAAAAGAGTCCATACAGGCAAGTGTCAGCTTAACTAATTACAGACTTTACCAAAATGTGTCTGGCTCGTCACTTTCAAAGAAAGGAAAAAGTCAAGAGTTTAACCGGTACAGTAGTTTCCTTTAGTGGCATTCCAAAAAGAAACATTGATATCGGCATTCAACAGTAACACGTGTATTTTAAATTATAAGATACACTCACTCCGTCCTGAAATATAGCGTATTTTTATTTGTTCCCAAATCAACCCACCTCATGTTTGACTAAAATTATAGGGAAGCATATTAACTTCTAACACATCAAAAAAGGTAAGTTGTAAAAATACATTCCATAATGTCTCTAATGGGGCTTATATGATGTCAAAAATATTTACTCCCTCAATTCCAAATTATAAGATTTTTTGGCTTTTCTACTGTGCATTGCTTTAACTATGTACCTGCCCATAGTGTATATCTAAGTCCATAGCAAAATATATGTATCTATAAAAACCAAAACATTTTATAATTTGGAATGAAGGAGTATTGTTCTTTTCTATAAATCTGGTCAAACTCAAGATGGGTTGACTTACAAATGAAAATACATTAATATATCAGGACGGTGGGAGTAGAGTTAAAACAAGATACTGATAACCTTGTGTGAACAAAATTTTAATGTTGATATTTCAAACCAAAAACTGTACAAGCATACTGCAACGGCCTCAACAGAAGCATGTTATGCAATCATTTGTCTTAAAAACTCCCTTTTCTTTTGAACTACTACACATCCTGAGCCGGATACTTTTTTGCCTTGCAGTTTTGTCTGGACAGCTGCTGGCAAGCAAGGTAATCTTGAGAACCAGGTTGGAGTGGGCGGCTACGGCTATCCCGCCATGGTAGCTCTCAACGTGAAGAAAGGTGCATACGCACCACTCCGTAGTGCCTTCCAGCGCGACGAAATCATGTAAGCTCCCTGGTCTTATTAATTATATAATACCCTTGTTTCATGTTGATTAGACAGATGATTAAAGGAAAGTTATCTCGTGCAGCGAGTTTGTGAAGGAAGCAGGGCGTGGTGGAAAGGGAAATCTTCCTCTGAACGATGCACCTACAGTAGTCACGTCCGAGCCGTGGGACGGCAAAGATGGAGAGGTCATTGAAGAGGATGAATTCTCCCTTGACGAGCTCATGGGCGACAGCTCCTCAGTAAACGATGAGTTGTGATTCTGATGATTCTGGAACTGATCTGCGTTTTTCGATTAGCCAGACTGTAAATTTGAGGAACTCTGATGTTTTAAGAACTCATTCCTTTAGTGGGATAATTTTTCAGGTTTTGGGTGCTAGAACGGTTTACAATTATAGAGAACTGATGTGATAGGCACTCTTCTTTTGTGTTTTATTTTTGTCCCTGAAATAAAGTCAGTTTGGACGTATAGGTTGCTTGCCACAACAAATGGTCTCCGCTTTAGAACATGCTCTGCTGCTCACATTGGATAAATCCAAACTCCCTGTCACCGAGGACACAGAAGAAGAATACTGGAGCCGTGCAAGCATTTGGATGAGATCATGAGATCGGCATCCGCATAGGCGCTACTGTTTCGCTTGACGAGCTGCAACTTGCGCAAAGCCGCGCTTCAACTTGGAAGAAGCTGATGCTGATTGCAGGCTTGCAGTGTTTCTTGCCGATTTTCCCATGTTTTTTACTGTGGCGCTTTGCGCCATATGAGAATGCAACGTTATCGTTAGAAAACCCGGTGACCTGCACACAGCACACCTGCAACGACCCTTGCCAATTGCACTGTGCTTCCGAAGACTCCGAGTAGCAGACTAGCAGTTGCTCCGTACCTGTCGCTGACGACTCGAACAATTTTGGAAAGCGACTAGTAGTTTCTGTAGTCAACTGGAAGCTTTTCATGGATTCTGTAGTCTGTGCTTCATCCTGTCCTCTAAACCCTGCTTCAGCAAAGACGCAAACGCAGATGCAGCCGCGGTAATGTTATATGTCTGGCATCCGACGCGCTTCCTTGTCTCCGGACGTGGCTCGCGCTCCCCCACTCGCTCCCCTTGCCTTATCCTCATCCACCTACCTCACGTTGCTCAGCCCGCTCCATACGGAGACGCTCGCTGCCGCTCCCTCCCGAGCCGCTCACGGCACCGTCCCGCCCGAGCCGTGCGTCCCCCGCTCGTCGCCCATCCCTCCCTCCGTGACCCCCATGCCATCGGAGAGGAGGGCGACGGCGGTGGCTTCCGGCAAGCTGCCCCTCTCCCCCCCCCTCCCTCCTTCCCTCCGCGACCCCATGCCACCGGAGAGAGGGTGACAGCGGCGGCTTTCAACGAGCCGCCCCTCCCTCCCTCCGTGACCTCCATGCCACCGGAGAAGAGGGTGACGACGACGGCTTTCGGCAAGGTAGGTGGGTCCTTCTCTAGATCTAAGCCATCCTAGCCTCCTCCACCTCCTCCTCTTTCTCCTCCTCCTCCTCCTCCTCCTCCTCCTTTTGGATCTAAGGGATGCGGCGGTGGCTAGGGTTCCGGCGAGCTCTCGTGGTCAGATCTCGCCGTGTTGCAATAGTTTTTTTTTATGTTGCAACATATGATTTTGAATGTTGCAATGGGATTTTTTTGGTTGTTGCAACAGATGTTTTTGCGATGTTGCAGTAATATTGCTTGAGATGTTGTAGTATGTTTCAGTTGCTTCAATCTCATGTTGCAGTAGTTGTTCCATGTTGTTGCAAGTGTTTTTATTTCGAGCGTTGTTTCATATGCTTCACACCAGTGTTGCAATAATATGTTCTAAATGTTTCAACTCCTTCAGCCTATTGTTGCAGCAGTTAGTTCGGTGTGGTTGCAATAATATGTTCATGGTGTTTCAGCTGCTTCATCCTAATGTTTCAGCTGTTGTTCCTTGTTGTTGCAATAATATGTTTATGGTGTTTTAACTGCTTCACCCCAATGTTGCAGCTGTTGCTCCTTGTTGTTGCAATATATATGTTTCATGGTGTTTCAGCTGCTTCAGTCTAATGTTGCAGTAGTTGTTTTCCGTATTGTTGCACGTGTTTTATTCTAGCTTTCTATGTTGTTCGGCCGGGGAGGGGCGAGCCGAGACGGACGGGGGCGAGTGGTTCGCCGGGGCCTAGCGGGCGGAGGTGCTAGGGCCATGGGGGCGTTGAGCATGCAACATGCTCATCGCGGGCGTGGGGCGAACGCGACGGGCTGCGGGGCGATCTAGGGGCGTGCGGACTCGCGCAACACAGAGGCTAGCGGGGCTCATCGTAGGCATCGCGGGTCGCCGGTTCGTTGGTGTTAGTGGGGCTCTTCGTTCGACGAAAACGCAGCAGCGGCAGTTCGCGTGGGCGCGCGATCTTAGGGCGGCGGCGGCGGTCCATGCTATTGCTCCGGTCTCGTACCATCGCCAGCGGGTCCGCTCCTTGCGCGCGTCGCCGGGGGGACGTGCTGGTAGCGTCCGGTGCCGAACTGGGGAAAGGGGCGTGCGCTGAGAGAGTGCGGACTAGGAAGCGGACGAGGGGGGTCGAACGTTGAGGGGCGTCCGAACGCTAGCGCCTACATCGGGACGTCCGGGCGCTAGCAGTTACCATGCATCTGCTAGTTGTTACTACTATTACTACCATAATAATAAGTAGTCCTCCTATAAGCCAGTAATGGTAATCCTACGAGAATACATACACCTGCAGTGCAAAGCCAAACTACCACTTAATCAGAAAACACAAATATCCATAAAAAAACTGTCTATCAATCCTTGGTAGTTTTTTTTCCTTGAAAATAAATCCTTGGGAGTTGGGACGGAGGGAAATCAATAAAAGGTGGACACCAAATTGTCATGCCTCACGTCATGATTCATGATTGGCATCACGTTCATGAACCAATTCCAACAACTAAACTGCCAGTGGGCCAGGCGGCAACATCACCAGACTGCGCCGCGCCCAGTCCGCCTCCGCCCGCACTGACACCGAAGAGGGGAAGAACTCGGCTGCGGGCCTGCTGCCGCGGGTCACCTCACCGCACCCAACCCCACGCGGCGTCGCTCCGCCCGCCCTAAAAAATCGGCCAGTACAGGTAGGACCCAACCAAACCCACGAGTCGCTCGGCCCAGCACAGAGAGCATCGCAATTCACCACCAGCGCGACGAGTTTCTCAGCCGCAGCCGCCGAACCACCCGGCGCCGAGGCCCTAGGCGCGCTTGCTTCCCCCGCCGCCCGCATGGCACCGAAGCGCCCGGCGGCGGCGGCCTCGGGGTCGGCATCCGAGACATCCGACGCGGAGGCGGACGCGGGCCACCACCAGCCGTCCTCCCCGTCCCCGTCCAAGCCGCCGCCGCCCAACCCTAACCCTAAGTCCGCCGCCGCTGGCCCCACCTCGGTGGCGGAGGACTCCACGGCGGCCGGATCCGACTCCGAGGCCGCCTACGACTCTGACGCAGACCACCGCCCCGCGCCCCGGAAGGCGGCGGCAGCGTTGTCGCCCTCGCGCAAGCCCAGGAGCCCCAGGCCGCGCTCCCGCTCCCGCTCCCCGGACGCCGCCTCGTACTCCGACGTCGCGGCCTCAGACGCCGACGCCGACCCCGCCGCCGGAGACGGCGCCGACTCCGCCGACGACGACAACGCCTCCCCGCTCGCGCTCCGGCCCCCGCGCCCGTCCCGCGCCGAGGCTGCCGCCATCAAGCCCCTCAGCTCGCGCCCCATGGATCCGCCGCGCCGCTCCATGGTACCCTCCTTCTCCGAGCCGCGCTCAAAGCGCCCCCGCAGCGTCGCCGTCCCGTCATCCGTGGAGCAGCTCAAGAGGCCGACGCGGCTCTGGAGCCTCCGCGACGAGATCGTCATCCTGCGGGGCTTGGCCACGTACCGCGCCAAGCGTGGCGTCCTCCCCGGCTCCATGTATGACATTTCTAAGCTGCATGGCCACATCCAGAGCGAGCTCAGTGTTAAGGTAACCCCTACGCAGCTCAGTGACAAGGTACGGCGTCTCAAGCAGAAGTACAACCTGCTTTCATCCCGTGGCAAGAACGGGCGGGATCCAGACTTGCCCACCCAGCATGAACAGAGTGTTTATGAGATTGGCAAGAAGGTTTGGGGAGCAAGTGCTAATGGTGGAGGAAGTACCGCTGGTGATGGGTATGAGATTGGTGGTGGTGGTGATGACAGCGAAGAGGAGCACGAGATTGCAGAGAGTGATGATGATGTGGAGAGTGGGCGGGATGAACGCCCCAGCAAGAACAGGAGGGTTATGCCAATCGCTATGGCAAATGGAAACGGGGCTGGCTTCGGGGCTGTGAATGCCAATAGCAGAGGCAAGTTTGATATTGAGAAGGGAAAGGATGCTTATCCATACCTTTGGGAGACTGTGGAGGATCTGTCAAAGGAACACCCGAATGGGGTAGCATTCAAGAAGGCCTTTGAGTTGATCGAAGGCCCCAAAGCTCGTGGGATGGAGGAAAAGCTGCGAAAATTCAGGCTGACAGAGATCAGACACCAGCTGCGCCGTATGGAACTGATGAAGGAGACAGTGAAGATGGTGCTTGATGCGCTGGAGGGTTGACCGAGTATAATGAATGATCTTCTGGTGGGTGAGTAGTGCAATGCTTAAAGGAGCAATCAGTGTCTTCTTTTGTTCCTAGATACAGTTTCTGTGGCTGAATTACTAAACTTTCATGGACAAGGTGCACTTGTCTCAGTAAGAATTTAGGTACAGAACAGGGAGTGAGAGTGATGGTGTTTCCCTCGTTCTTGGTGGATCATAGTATATTTTCTGTCTCTTAGGTGCTAACTTTTGCGTTATATGGTATACAGTTTCTATGTTTAGTTAAGTTTGGTTTGATGCATCTGCATTATGAAGGTTTTGTTCTATTTTACTCCTGTGGTGCTTACAAATTGGAATGCCATGCTCGGTGATCCGGCTGAGTATCATGTTTCAGAACCTATTAGATTTAGGTTGGTTTTTATATTTGATATATAATGTTCAGAACCTACTAAATTTAGGTTGTTTGATGCGATAGGACGGTTACTTTTAGATGGTTTTGTAGCTGATGATCAAAACCAGGGAGGATCACAATAATCTCTCTGTGAAAAAGCATCCATATCCTTTACCAAAACCCATCCTGATGATGATCTCATTGTGTTCTCCCACTAGTTTTATGGATATATGCATCTTGGTATTTAGGATGTTATTTGTACACATCCATGTGCCTTTGTGCTCTGTAAATGGCCCTGTAC